CCCCAAAACCCCAAAACCCCAAAACCCCAGCTTTAAATAATAATATTGAAATGTCCGATGTCGAAGTAAGCCATCCCTCCAAAACCCCCCTAAGCTCCCATCCCCTCTTCCACCCCTCCATTCTTCACTTATTCCCCAAATTCCAGACCACATACCTAAAGCCCATCCCTTACCAAAGGGTTTTCTACCAAAATCTGAAAATTTGTACTGTTACAAATTTTAAGAATTTTTAGAAGAAAGTGGGCGTTTCAGGAGGAAATTTTGGGATTTGTGAAGAAAGTAGGGGTTTTGGAAAGAGAGTTGGGTATTTTGGAGATTTTGGGGATTTGGGGGAGAGGAGGAAAGAGGGGGATGGGGATTTTGGGGTGAGGGGTTGTTAATGTTTGTTTAGGGGGTTTTGGAAGGGAAGGAGAGAGATGATGAGGATAAGGTGACAAGAGATGTTAAGGAGGTAAGATGGTGGGATTGGAGTATGGAGCTTTGGAAGAGAATAGAAACTGTGTTTTAGAGTGTATCGGTTTTTAAGAAGACTTTTTATTTTATTTTTTAATTCTTAAAAATTAATTTATCCGGAATAAAAAATTGGGAAAAGAAGCTTATTGGTTTAGAAAATCTATATGACCCTATTTTAATTTTTATTTAACTATTATCTAGTTCATGATAATCTATGATCCCAGGATAATACCGCAGGAAAATGACATCTTCCGTATTGAGTTTACATCCAAGTTTTATTTCAATATGCTACAAACTTGAGCTTGGGTGCCTTGACTAATCTCGTATATAGATTTTCTGAATGCATCTCATCCTTCCTTATACCTGTCCATAGAACAACCTTTTCTCGTTATTACCTCAATTACTTATTTGTAAAATAAGGTTTCGAGAAAATTGAAGACTAGAGGTAAAAAAATAATATAGTTTGATGTTATTAATTGTAAGCCATCAGAATTAGCGAGTCAAAAGTGTTCGAAACTAGGAATAGATCTCCATCCCTAAATCCAATCTTGCTCAGTTCCAGAGGGAGAATTCTTCCGATTCAAATTTTATAATTTAAACTTTCTTAGATTATTATGCATACCTTTAAATTATTCCAAATAGTTTCAGACAAATCTTCTATGATTGAAACAAATGTCTTATTGAATGTCACTGAGGTGCTTGGCGCTGATTTAATTCAAAATATTGAAGACATCAGAAAAAGAATGATAAGGAAAGCTCGGAGTGCAGAGATTGCAATGGAATATGAGGATGTTGATTTCTTTAGTAATCATGTATTGAAAGAATTATCTGATTAATGAAGGCGATTGATTCATTACTTTATTTAGCAGAGGTTTATACATATTTCCAAGAATATTTTTAATAATTCCCGATAAGAGAACTATGACCGGTTAAAATCCCTTGCTTTTCATCATAAAATTTCAAAATTCTTGATACTGAACACAATTTTATCATTCTTTCCTAACCCCAAACACCATCTATATTCATCACCCCAATAATTTATTAAAGATTTTCAACAACAATTATGCCAACCGGGGTTTTGGGGTTTTGGGGTTTTGGGG